ATTAGTGTAATGTAGGATATATCATGTATGATTAATCATATATCATATATGTACTGTAATCATATATGATTAATCATATATGATATATCCAAATAGGTATATAATTTATACTTATATAAGCAAAGTTGTTCATTCATAGGTTACTGGCGATTTATTTAAAAACAAAGACTTCAAGAAAAGATTAACAAGCTTGTTTGGAACATGCATATCAAACCTGATGAATTGAAAAGAAGTGGGATTTGATTATTAATGAATTCAATCTAGAGATAAAAGATGGTTCAATGATATGTTTGAATTACGTGACAAAATGGATTCCCTGCATACTTCAATGACACAAGAATGTCTGGATTGATGAAAACCACTTCAAGATCAGAAGATGAATTCCTTCTTCAACACTTACTCTCAATCGGGTAATTTACTTTTACCTTTCATGATGAACTATGACACAGCAATTCAAAAAAACAAAGAAATACACACAGGAGCTGATCATCAAACAAGAAGGCTGGTATATAAATTTATTTCACCACGACCAATAGAAAAACATGCTGCAAAAGTTTATACAAGTACATTGTTTATGAAGTACATAAAGAAATCTATAAAGGTTCCTGGTACTGCCAATACGAACATCTTGGAACAAAAATGGATGGGAGTTATACAAAGTGGAACAACTGAACAAAAACAGTGATCTAAAAACAGAATTTGAGGTAATATATTCCTATTTTAAATTTTGTTGAATCAGAACATAATATAAAAGAATATTCAGTTATGATTATAAAACACTTAATGCTTTAACCGCTTTTGAACAGGTAGAAATAAAACTTCCAACCAATGATGTAAAATGTACTTGTGAACACTTCAACCGCTTTGGGACTTTGTGCAGACATGCATTCAACATACTCATGAAACATGGAATTAAGGAGATACCTGAACAGTACGTTGAGAATCGTGGAGAAAGGATGTGATATCAAGGCATTTATAATTTTGGTAGCATGTATATATACAGGAGATAGTGAAATTAACAGATCTGTCAATCAAGCATACTACAACTTTGAAGCATGTTTGGAATACGTAAGAAAAAATAAAGAAAAAATGGATTTGTTTGTTAAGAAAACAGAAAGCTTGCTGAAGGAATATGAAAACGATCCTACAAATGAATTGCAGATGAATAGGACAAATGTTGAAGAGGTAGAAAAGCTTATGGGCATATCTATTCCAAAAGACATTGGCATCAATGTTCCAAATGTTCAAAGCAATAAAGGATGCGGAAAGAAAAGTAGAATTCAAAGTGCAACAGAAATAGCGTATAAAAATTCAAACAAGCAAACAAGAAGATGCTCAGGATGTGGAGAAAGGGCTCCTCTTAACTTGCGGACATGCCCAATCAAACTTGCATCAGAACAATCATCAAAAACTACATAGATATTTACTGCTTTAATCAGTAATGAATAAGTCATAATTTTTTTTTTCAAAATAATATACTTTTTGTTTAGTACACTTTACTCTTTTTATAAAACATAATTTACTATGATTTTGTCTACTGGATTTAATCTACTTTGATAATTCTTTCTTTGATTTGATAATATATTCATTCATGATTAAACTTTTATTAAATGTTACTACAAGCATTTAAGATTACATATAACTATTATTCAATACATGTAATCATTACACATAACCATATACAATATTCATCTGTATAATCATAAAATATTATGTAATACTACTTCATATGTTTTGTTTAATCATAAGTGATTAAAAATATGATTACACATAAAAAACATCTAACCATTACATATAACCATATACAACAACATCGTTCCTAACAAATATACAACACTGCTCATAAAAAATCTAAAGATAACAATATTCAAAATAATAGAATAACATCAAACATGATAAAATCTTCAATAACAAACAATTTCACAAGTCTCAAATATCACGTTCCCCATTTTCCAAGATTCTTGTTCTTCATATTCCTAGCTAGATTTTCATACAGATTGTAGCTGACTCCAAGAACTCTTCCACCATTACTTAGAAAGATTATCTCCATTGAACATAACAAATCTTTGCTACATATCTGATGTAGAGAAATGTTGTTCATTAAAAAGAAATATTCTTTAAATGAACAACATTCCTCTACTTCAAAGACATCTAGTAAAGATCTGATATGTTCAATGAAGATAAACTTTTTAAGTAATGGTGGAAGAGGCGTTCTTGGAGTCAGCTACAATCTGTATGAAAATCTAGCTACAAATAAAAGAACAAGAATCTTGAAAAAATGGGGAACATGTTATTAGATATAGCAAAATTAGCACGAGGCTACCCCCTTTATACAAACATAATCACTTATCAAAAATACAATATATGGTTGTACAAATCAGTTTTCATTTATAAAGAAAAGATTCTTCAATACAAACACTAAAAAACAAAAATAAAATCTTACAAAGATAAGATTCTGCATGGTGATGTATTCCATGCAGTAAAGATAAGCTCACTTATCAAAAAAAATATATAATAAATTAAATGTGTTGTACAACAAATATAATCATTTATGATTACAAAACATAAAAAAAAATAATCGATATAATCACTAATGATTACATATAAGCAACATATAATCAATACTAAAAACATAAATTACATATAAAAATAATAAAATAACATAATCACTTATGGTTAACATTCAATAACATAATTCACACAAACAAACTTACATAATAAAATCCACCAAAATACATATTGACTTGTTTTCTATCACCATGTTTTCCATCATCATAAAAACAAACATTCTTCACAATATCCATAACATACACAACATAAACAAACTTGTTCTTATAACATCATCAATAAGAAAATATTCAATCAAAAAAATTTGACAGCCTTCTTTCTATATTCATTGAGCATCATATGAATGCTTACCACGAATCTTTTGATCAATTTTTGATACTCATATGCAGCTTTCAACACATCATCACGCTTTGTATTAATCTCAGAAGTTAAAATTGTTGCTGCATATTTCATTCTCACTTTTCCAGAATTTTTTCTTAAGAACCACCTTCTTTTGGAAGACCACATTTCCATTTAGAACCCTTTTTCTCCAAAATAACTCTCCATATGTCTCATAGCAAAAAACTCCACAATCCACTTTGTTATAAACTGTCCTCCATGGCATGTCAATCTTACTGGAGTAAGTTTTATCAGCCATTTCATTTGCTTTAACATGATCGATCTCTTTAGATACTTCAAAAAACACTTTTTCTGAAAATCATATATGATTTCAAGTCAGAAAAATATAAGTATAATAATTATAAAACATATCATATATGATTTCAAATCTAAAGAATAAATATCATTTGAAACTTACAAGAGGTTTAAAAACTGCACCATACTTATCATCGAAATCAGCATCATCTGCACCATTATCGATAACCTCAAAAGCACGTTCTTCAGATCATACAATAAGATATATGTGCTTATGCCTCAAAATCTGGAAAATACCTAACATCAACATGTATAATATTATAAATAAATTATTAATATATATATATATATATATATATATATTATATATATAAAAAATATACCATATCAACATCCTTCAAAACCTTCAAGTCTCTATCACCAGAAACACTGCGAGAGAAGCTGTCCTTGAAAACTTTATATTTTGCAGTTTCATTCAAATGAGTATATTCAAATGACAAAGTCTGTAATATAAGAAAATCATAAATGATTATATAATAACATGTAAATATTAATAAAAAATTATTAATGATTATCAACATATGAAAAGCAAAGAATAAAATAAAAACTTACCAGTGTCAGAATTCATGAACAATCTGAGTGGAGAATTAACAACATCTCTGAATTTCTCTTGATGATTTAGTATACGAGACCATGAATCAAGAACACTAACATGCAAATTGGTTTTTTTAAAAAAGATTTCATAATTAGCTCTAAAACCAATAACATCTGTTCCATAGGCAATACAATATCCCTGTATATATTTAATTAAATGTTATTTAAAACAAAAAATTATAATTATAAAAATAAAAATTAATTAAAAAAATTACCCTGGATTTCCTTGAAGATTGAAAAGCCATTCACAAACAACATTTTCTACTTGTGTCAAACTAGGTTTAAAATCAATTAACCTTTCCTTAAATGGTGACTTATAAACATAAGAAACTTCATTTGTCTCTTTCCTTTGATATCCACTAATGATGTTGCTTCTTCATTTATATCTTTAGGTTTGCCAGAAACAGGTTTTGATGGTCCTTCTAATGTACCCAAAGGGGGTGCAAAAGAAAGGACTAGCATCAATAACATCAACATTTGGAATAACACGCTCTGGACCAACACTTGGTTTTCCCAAAATAACTTATCCTTAATCTTTTTCTTTGTCATCCGTTCAGAAGAAATTTGACTTTGAGATGACTTCTTGGAACCTTCAGAATCTTGACTAAATCCAAGACTAAAACTTGGGAACAATATCATTTTTCAATGATCGAGTTCCATTTGAATCCCTTGTTTTATTGAACAATTTCACATTTTCTGCCCAATAAAATTATAAAAACATATATGATAAAACAATAATTATAACCACAGTTATATATGAATAAACAATAATTATAAACAATTACTCCATCTTTATTTTTATGATCATCCTCCACCCAAATTTACAGTCCCTAAATTTTAAAATCATAAATGAATCATCTATATACATATTTTATATATATTTTATGTATTAAAAATACATAAATAAATACTTACCATCATCAATACCAGTCAAATTCAAATCACATCATTTGAACTAGTTATGATTTAACAACCATCAGTACCTATAAAATTCAAATATAAAAATTTAAAATCATATATGATTAAAGTATATATATAATAATAAAAAGAACCAAAAAATTGATTTTGAAGTTGTCATCCGCAGCACTACTTTGAACAAGTTCATTCTTTAGCTGTTTCATTCTCAATTTATCAATATTTTCATATTGTTTCTTGCACTCAAACATACAGCTCTCTTCATTATTCTCCGAAATGTAATCCATGTTTGAAAGTAATGAGCCACCAGATGGTAATCCTAACATCTCTTGAACAGACTTACTATCAACACTAACTTCACAATTATCAAACTCCCACCTTCAAAGATTCAAAATTAAAATGATCAAGAACATAATAAACAATCTTCAACGGTACGTCAATCATCTTCATCCCTAACAAACTCCCAAATCCCATAGCCCTAATACAATCCTTTTGTTCTCTACTTAAACCTTGAATAACACCCAACAATGACCCGGGTGAACATCTATTCTTCAATGAAGGAAATTCTTTTATACACAGAGCTTTTTTATCTTCTTCAAAACTTTAGTTTCTTCTTTGGTTTCTTGAAGATCCAGGTCGACTCTGAAAATCTGAATCATCTTCATCAGATAGTTCACGTTCTTACTTACAGTTTTGGACTTAACCCTCAGCTTCACTTTTGGTTGTTCAATAACTATTTTTTTGGATGTCTTTGAACGTGTTTGCGACACCTCATTCGCCTTTCTCTTTGGAAGATTATCGTGTCTTCCTTGAGCTATCTACATTCCCTTTTTAACTACAATTTTCATTAGAAACATAGTGTTAGTAAGATATAAAAAACATACATTTACATTATTATTTCACTAATGATTAAAAAACAGACGTATAAAATCATTTATGATTAGAACAATAAATAAAAATACAACTAAATGTTATATACAATCCACTTAAAAGAACCACAAAATCAGTTATGATTACAAAAATAACTTTATATTCATGTTTGATACATTAAAATACATTTATCATTACTATTTACCAATAATTATAAACAAACGTACAAAATCATCTATGATTAGAAGTAGAAATAAACATATAATTAAATGTTATGTTCAATACACTGGAAAAATCAAAAAATCAGTTATGATTACAACAAATAACTTCAAACATTAAGTTATATGTTTATTTCTACTTCTAATCATATATGATTTTTTTTGAACTGTACCTTCGGAAATAACAGCACTTCTACCGCATTCGATATTTTTTTGATTTTTGAATTTTTTTCGAACATAGTTTCTTTTGAAATCCTTATCTGTGAAAATATAAACAAAAACTTACATCAAAAACCACCACAAACAAACATAATAAAAAACATATCAACTCTAAACGAGACAATCATCAAAATCAAGTTAAAATGACGAAAAATCTACTGAATCAAAACAAAAAAACACCATTATCAACATAAAACGACAGTTAACTAATTAATAAAAACATGCATTATCAATAAAATGAAAAATAACTCGCATTCTAACCTTTCATTTCGATTAACGAAGATGCGACTTCGTTTATATTTTTCTTGAAGACATTTACTGATTTCTCAATAACAGGTAAGAAACGAAAACTAGGGCAAAATACGATAAAGAAAGAAAAAGAGGGTTTCCTGAGAGTTTGAAATGAGACTTTGATCGAGAAAGAAAAGAAAACAATAGGCGGTTACAGTATCGTAGCCTGCAAAATTAATATCAATCTTTGTAAAATTACAACAATAGCCCCACAATCGTAAATTAACGGCGTTAGTTTAATAAGTTACCAATATAATTACAAATATGTCACCGCATAGTTTCAGAAACAAACATAAGCACATCAAACGGTTATACACATATCTCACAATCTCTAATTTTTTTTTATCTCAAAGGAACCATTATATATATATATATATATATATATATATATTATATATATATATATATATATATATATATATATATATATATATATATAAAAGGAAACAAGACTGCCGAATTGAAGTCGCATCTGCTTTGAACCTGGACTAAAATTTGTATCTTGATAAAATTAGGTCTACGACAGTGTTTCAGCACAGTGCTTTTCGTATGAAAGTAAATAAATACTCAACTTAACCCTAACTTAATTTTTATAATATACAGTATATGAATTGATGTATAGTTTTATAATAAAGTTGTGTATATATTTGCATTAAGGTATCAGGCATTTGTTATGATGAATCAAATCCATATTTAAAAATACCATACACTAGTTCTGAACTCTCTGAAGAACTTTTCCATACTTTATGGGACTGTGTTTCCCGTATTGCCTTTGTCCACTGATTTTCTTGTTTCTGTTTTCCTGGTATGGTAACTATGGCCGATTTTCTGGTCCTGTTTGCTTAAAAGTTCAAACTTATTTTCTATAGTTAAACGATTATGAATTAAAATCATCATTTCAGAATCCTTTATTTGTTAAAGATGAAACAAAAACACTAAAATGTGAAAGGAGTAGAGAATACGAATTATTGTAGAGTTGTTTTAAAATATTACAAATATGGCGTTTATTTTTCAATGAAACCACAAACACCTTTACTAGAAAACATAATCATCATTCGGATTAATTATTAACTTGCAAAAGGAAAACGACTGAAAATAGATAAGCTTGCATCAAAATGAATTTACAAAGGGATCCAATCAAGCATATACGGTTTTGGTTGAATACTAAAAAAATAGTTACAAGGTATCCAACAATATTTCCTAGGAAATGAAGAAGATTAACTGATGGATTGCTCTTACCTAGGATCATAAATTCTCATCATCATCTTGCTCGATTTCTGATGCGGGTTCATCATCTTCTTCAAATCCATTGATACCATAAGCTGCATGTCCGTGGCCAAAAGCTTTAATGTGATCTTTGAGTGATCTTTTGTGCTTAAAATCCGAACCACAAATGCAGTACCAAAGCTTCCCGCAGTTCTTCTCATGTGTTCTCCAATCTCCCCTAACTGCAAAAGTTTTCCCACATTTGCGACACATGAACGGCTTGATTCCATGTTTTCTTTTGTAATGTGTTTGGAGGGTTCTAAAGTCTTTCAGTGGCTTTGATCGTGGGTGATCAATATTATTGCGACACCCCGGTGCACAGCAATAGCACGGTAGCTTTAGCATGCCAGTAGGTTGAGTTCCTCTTAGAGATTCTGGACCTTTCCTGTATTGAGATCCATGCCCCCACATATGCATCTACAGTATGAAACCAATCAGATAAGTTAATTGATCAAAAACAAACACACTGTAATTCAATAAATTGTACATCATATGATAATTCAACTATGTACTGCTAAAGTTTATATGCTTGGATCGCAGAATCCAGTGCCTGCAGCCTTTAGTGACTAATTTTATTTTTTTTCTGAACATCAATCATATTAAAAACTAGCGACCCATGACGACCAAAACTTGTGAGTAATTCAACATATTTGGGACTCAGCCAGTGTTATCTTGCTTGATTGAATGAAGGCTTTTTCGTAATATCATTTACAAGAGAGAGAGAGAGAGAGAGAGAGAGAGAGAGAGAGAGAGAGAGAGAGAGAGAGAGAGAGAGAGAGAGAGAGAGAGAGAGGTTAAAACATGTAAAAGATGTTAACTTGTGTACTATTCAAAAGCACAGATTTCCATGAATACTAAAAAGCAGAAGGCAACATTGCCTGTGTAGTTAAATCAATTAAATTTGTAGGGTACAACTGTTTCTAAGCCTGAGTTCAGTTCAATGAAATTCAGATCCCAAAATCTGCAGTCCATGCAGATTAATAGATTATTCAAGCAATTAAAGAGCACACTTCAATACCAGCTTGACACATTGAACACACAAACGGATAGAAATCAGGAGGAGATCTAACGTATTTTAAAACTCCATTCCAGCAAAAGTGAAACAAACCCCATGTGAGCAGTCTTTTGCAAATTAAAATCATCAGTATTTCTTGATTGATCTCTAATCATTTTGGTTTTAGTTTAAAGAACATATATGCTTGAAAAATAATCGGATATATGTGAAAACCAAAATGAAGTGGAGAAAATTTAATCCTAACCAAGAGGTTGAATCAACTGTTCAATATGGAACTGAAAATAATGAAAAAGAAGGATATCTTTTCTCGATCTAATGAACGAAGGGAACAAAAGAAGAGGTTTTGATAATAATTATTAGGTAACAACCTGCATGTTGTTGTATCTATTGAAGGTTTTGAAGCAAACAGGACAGGAGAACTGTGTAGGGCCAATAAGGATCTGGGAGGGTGTTGGTATCCAGTACTGACCCTTGTTGAGTCTGCTGATAGGGTTATACCCAAGATTACCTTCATCTCCATCTCCCTCTTTAGTCTTATCATTGATGCTATAAGGAAACCTTATCTCAGAAGTTGTAGAAGAAGAATTTGATGAATTTGAGATTAAAGATGCAAGATCAGCAGCACTTGCGTTAGGAAGCCCTATATGCAGTGCAACAGTTACAGCTGTTTCATCATCTTCCTCATCACCACCATCAACGGCCTCCATATCCATATCTTGATTAGTTGTACTACTGCAAGAAGGTTGATGATAATCTTCATGTTTTCTTGATGGGCTCCAGCTCAAAAGAGGGAGAGCTTCTCTGAGAGGAGGAGAAGGAGGAGGGGTTGGATGCTGATAAGGGACAGAAGTCGATGGATTGAAGTAGAAACTGTTAGTAATTCTCGTGTTAGAATATGAAGAAGATTGGACACTGTTGTAGTGGTAGCTTTGAGGGTGTTGTTCGTGAAGGTTATACTGAATATGATGCGGAAGATTTGTAGCGGAATTGTTGCAGAATTGATCGAATCTGAAGTACTGCGAGTATAGATTTGAAGAGTAAGGGTCGGTCATGGTGGTGATGAAGAACAGGATGGGAGAGAAATGGTAAGCTTATATATACATATATGGAGAGAGAGAGAGAGAGAGAGAGAGAGAGAGAGAGAGAGAGAGAGAGAGAGAGAGAGAGAGAGGATGGTGATGTTGATAAGGAGGAGTAATCTAGAGACTTGTTTGGTGTTTTTAACCTTTTTTCCACTGTATAAAGGGAAGCCATGTAAAGGTACATGGCGCTACGTGCGGGTGAGTGTGTGGTTATGTGCTCCTTCTATGCAAGTCAATTTTATCTTCCTTGGTCAAAAAACGATATATTGGCTTGTCCTTCACTAGGTTAAAACTTAAAGGTTCTCTCTCTCTCTCTCTCTCTCTCTCTCTCTCTCTCTCTCTCTCTCTCTCTCTCTCTCTCTCTCTCTCTCTCTCTCTCTCTCTCTCTCTCTCTCTCTCTCTCTCTCTCTCTCTCTCTCTCTCTCTATATATATATATATATATATATATATATATATATATATATATATATATATATATATATCATCCCAAAATTTTCAAACTTTAAAATGCTATGGTTTTAAAAATTTTTTGGGTAATAACCCACATTTAACAAAAACTGGTTCCACAAAAAAATATTTATAAGAATTGGGTATTACCATTAAGCATTACACAAACCATAGCAAGCAAATGAAAATTACATCAATACAATAAATAAGAAACTTAAGAAGCTCCACTCCGTTCTCTATCTATGGACTTCTAACTTTCATTTATCATCTTCTCTCCTTAACTGTAACCTGAGATACATGACATTAAAAGACATACGTAAGACAATCATGTCTCGTGAGCTACGTGGGTTTGAGACCCAAAACATTTATCACATTTACATAAAAAACATTTCATCTTTGCAAAACATAGTTTTAGACCATAAAACATTTCAAGCATTTTCAAGGAAAACTCTTTTCATACACATCATAAATATCATTTCATATCTTATCTTTTCATTTCATTTCAAAAGACATCTTTCCACATTTCATTCTCTTTTATCATTAAGGGCTAATTCCAGTATTAAACAACTGTCACTTTTATACTCAGGGTCTACGTCCAATAAAGTAACCACTCCCAAGTCTAGATCAAGATAGAAAGAACAAATCAATCCACCAAGGTATCATTTCCATTAGGATATCGAGAAGGGAGGTGTCACCACGATAGATTCCTCTACTGCCTCTTATTAGGTATCATGGCACCGACAATTTTTCTTTTCATTACTTTCTGATTCTTGTCATTACTTTTAGTTTCTTTTCATTATTTTCCATTTCTCGTCATTACTTTCCACGCTTTACACATTTCATATGTTAGTATCAAAATACTCATTTCAAAAGTAAAGCATCTGTATTTCAAAACATTTTAAACACCTTTTCAGAACATTCGATCTTCGAAAACGTTCTTTACTTTCAAAAACATTATTGCTTTCGTGGCATTCTTTCAAATTATCATTTCCAAAAACATTTGACACTTTCATTTAAAAACATTTCATATGTCAAACATTAGTGGTTTATTATCATAAAACCATTTTGCCATGTACCCAAAAGTAGAAAAATGCCAACATGTACTCACCTCAATCATACATAGGTTAGCTAGTGCTCTTCTAGTTCCTTTCCCGTACAACAATCCTCTTCAAACACTACATACACCATATATGAACATAAGTCATTAAAATGACCAAAATACCCCTAAAAGGTTCAAATACTAAATTTTATTGCTTCATACTATTCCTCCTGAAAAAATATGAAAGTATGCGAAAACCGCGCGTAAAATCAAGTTCGTATGCAAAAGTTATGAAGAAAACAAGTATCTTCACAGTTAGAGATTTCCACGGCCGTGGAAACTAAGGCATGCATTTCCTCAGGCCGTGTTTTCATGCCTGGACACACCCAAGACTCGATTTTTCTCAAAATAACACCCTACTTTGGATAGTTATTAAAGACCCTTTTCCAAATCACTTTGTACCATTTATTTAGGTCCTCACACATGATTAGGAGGTGTTTTACCATCCAAACACACTCCACTTAATCCATTAAGTGCTCATTAAAACCATTAAGGATATGATGATCCTTAAGTTCAAATGAAAGTCTAACTAGTCCAATTTCCAATTGTACATTCTAAAATTCACATAGTTTGTTCCTAACTCATTGAACACTCATATGAAAGTTAATAAGTACATGAAACCACATTTAATCTCATTGTAAATACATAAACTAACCATAGAATCCCCAATTCCATTTCATGTTTCCCAAATTGCCCTTTAGGCTAAAACACTCACTAGAACCACTTTAGATCAAGAGATCCTTCATGTTTATGTTCCAATTCCATCTCTAAAGTGTCAATTCATATCCATGAATTTCGTTCACCTCTTAGATGTCAATTAACATGTAGTTATCCCTAGATTTCCCAAAATGCCCTTATGGCCAATTATTCCATACATTCATCTAAAGAACATTCAAGCCTTTATGTTTTTGTATCCATATCATTCAAAAAGTATATATCCATTCATGAATATGAACTTCCTTTACTCATCCAATACTTCAACTACAATGGATTCCATTGATTTCATCATGTTGTCCCCAAATCCATTTTAATCCAAGCTTATACATGATTCTATCATCATGGATGAGTTTAAGCACTCGAATTGGATTTATTGTTGTCAAACATCATCTAGGTCATAGAATCTAATCCAATTTCATCATCAACTACAATAACCCCAATTTTGGGGTTTCTAGGGTTCATGAGGGTTTTCACCCAAATCCTCAAATCCATTAATGGGATGATTGGATTGAGATTGGGATCATCAAAACAGCTCAAGGGGGCTTAGAAACCAAAACCTTAATCAATGAATCAAACTAGTTTTGACATTAGGGTTTTCCCCAAACCTTGGATTCGAAATATAGTGTTAGAGGATGAGAAATTATACCTCCCAAGCTTGATGTTGCTTCATATCTTAAGTTCTTAGCTTGATTCCTCAACAAACAATCTAAACCTTCCTTTGCTTCATAAAAATTGCCATTTCCCTCTTCCCTTCTCTCAATCACGTTTTTCACAAGCAAATGGGAGAGAAGACCCATTAACTAGCTTTGAACTTTCCCAACTTGCCACTTTTGGTCCCTCCTTGCAAAAGCTCTTTCAAAATAACTCCAAAATAACTTAGAAGCTTCAGTTAATCTCCAAAATGGTCCCTCTCCATGATAGTATTCACTAAGCATTGGCTTACAGTTTTGGGTTATGTTTCAGGTACTTCAGATGACTGCGGGAAGGCGAAGGGTGACCGTACACATCCTCATGTTTTGTCTTATGATTTTGGGAGACTCTGATGTTGAAAATGTTTTGAAAACTATGTATGTAAACAATTTGTGAATTTGGGTTGGTTTTAAAAAGTTTAAAATTGTCATGATTTTTATGGATGTTACAAGTTGGTATCAGAGCCTTAGTTTAAGTGAATTGGAGGAGCACCCGTGTGAATCCAGTCTCAAACTAAGGAAATATAAAGGGTTTTAAAAAATAATTTTCAAAATTAATCAAGGGAGGATGTGATGTGTACGATCAGCCTGAGCCAGTAAGTAGACCCGAAATAACAACACCAAATATTTGATATGTTATGTTATGATAGAAGAACAACATGCTAGTTGTAGGATAGGGATCTTCATGAATTACATGATAGAATTGCCTGATATATGATGCCTTACTTCATATAGAGTTTTCTTGCTTATTGTTGTAGGACCCTTTTGGGTGTGAATTAACTACTAATGTAATACGTTAAGTCACATGTTGGAAGGGTTAAATAATGTTAGATTGAAGGATTTGATCCTATTACGCAGCTCTTGTCTGAGTGCAACCGTTGTAGGGTTGAATCTTTTAATCTAAGATTATTTAAGTTATGTTGCATGTAATTGTATTCATGCAGTAGTTAGCTGGCACCAATGGGGGTCGTTCGGCGGTTGATGGCAAGGTGAGATGTGGATCCTAGGATAGCCTAGGGAGTTTGTAGTGCTCATGTTGCATTGTCTTGCAAGTGATAGGGGTACCATTATGAGTGGGTATGGATGTAGCAGGCCAGATTTGGAATGACTAGTCACTCTCGAGAGAGTGAGTATAGGATGTATGTGCATCTTAGTTGTTGAAATTTTTTTGGGTAGTTGTGATGGTCCTTGAAACAAATATGGGTAGGTGTGGAATGTAGTATGGGCTCGTACTACTGAAAGCACATGACTTGTACACGTAGAAAGGAAGTCACAAACCCCGAGGGGTAGTCTCATCATGTGGTTGTAGCAATATGTGTGGTGACATTTCTGATGTTTTTTATTCATTTTCAGTATGGAGTTCGCAAGGGGATCAAGTTCGGGATCTGGAGTTGATGGCCAGGATAGGCCAGGGTTGACTGTTGATCAGATTCGGGAAATGATTACTTTTGAGGTTTCGCAGATATTACACGAAGAATTGTCTGGTATCGTGGGTCGAATCGCTAGCAGGCTAATTGCCATGTTCGAGGAATGAACTGCAGCTTCGCAGACTGTGAGAGGTGCTACTAAGATGACTACTGGGGGAAATTTTGATGAGGGGACACGGCTCGGAAAGAGGAGGAGGGCTCATTCAGTGAAGGATGAAGGGTCCGAGGCTGCTAACTTGGGTACCGGAAGCCAAGGGAGCTATAATATCTGCGGGGAGTGTGGGGGAACCCACGAGTTTGCTTGTCACAAGTTCAAATGCTAACTGTCCTACATGGCTCGCGGAGGGAGTGCAAGTCCAGATGTCCACTGTGCTACGGGAGGTCAAGGTTGAAGCGCAAGAAATCACAGGTACGAATTTTGATCCTTGGTTTAATTCTGAATGGATAGCCATTTGTGTAGTAGCTTGTTAGAATTAGTATGCTAGCATCTATAGGCTGTAATGGGTTAAGGTTGTGTCTTGGGAATCTTTGGGGTGCCTTATCTGATCAATCTGATCCCTATTCCTATGGGGGATGTATGTGTGATAGT